TGCATGCGTGTGCAAGGGCTGGTTACATCCCCCTCAGAAGTATCTTCTTTTTTATTTTTATTTTTTTGAGACACAATTTCACTCTATCTCCCAGGCTGGAGTGCAGTGGTGCGATCTCAGCTCACTGCAATCTGCTCCTCCCGGATTCAAGTGATTCTCATGCCTCAGCCTCCAGAGTAGCTGGGATTACAGGCACAAGCCACCACGCCTGGCTAATTTTTGTGTTATTAGTAGAGACAGGGTTTTACCGTGTTGGCCAGGCTGGTCTCGAACTCCTGACCGCAAGCTATCCACCCACCTCAATCTCCCAAAGTGCTGGGGTTGCAGGTGTGAACCACCACGCCCAGCCAGAAGTCTCTTCTTCGTTTCTCTTTCACTTTGGCTGTTTTTTCCCTTTGGTCCCTATGTTCTCAGGCCAGTCTGAAACCTGGCCGTGATCCCTGAGGGTAAGGAGAAAGGTTAGTTGGGAGGTCTCAGATTTGAAATTAATAGGCATAGTATCTGTCAAGACCAGTCTTCAGCTTAAGTCCCTATAGGGGGAAAGGGAGAGGAAATGCACCTAGAGGGGAAGAAGTGCTGAGTCATGTCACTTCAAGTAGACACATGAAAAGCTGGCTAACTTCTCAGCAGCCCACTGAGTTCCGACTATGTGCTGGACATTGTGCACACTAAATTAAGCTGACAGAGTCCCTTCCCTGTGGAACCTCTTCATTCACCTACTCATTTCACAGATATTTACTGAGCATCCTACTGTGTGGCCCACACTGCCAACGAAGCAGATATGGAGCTTAGAACCTGGTCTGTGAGACAGGCAACAATAGATGACAGATCCTTAAACAATTAAGGCATTTCAGTTAAGATATTTCAGATAGTGACAATTACTTTGAAGAAAATAGAACAAGATAATGAGAAGGAAAGTGGCTGGATGCAGAGCATGCCATTTTAAAATAAGTTCTTGCTATTTGAATGGATGAATAGTAAATTCCATGTGACCTGAAAGGGGATATACTTAGGCCATTTATTGTTTCTGACTCTGCCTTCCGCAGAGTAAGACTGAACTTTCTTGCCCATGGTGAGCAATTCTGGCCAAGGAGTAGTGAGCAGAATTGACATGTCATTTCTGTCCTTCATGTTGGAATTCTAGTGAGAAACCCTCCAGAGGTCACTCTCTCTTCTGGCCTGCTGCTGAGCAGTGCTGTGTGTAGAGGCTGCCACACCGGCCTGGTCTGGATGATGCTGAGATTGAGCATGATCTCAGGTTGACCTGTGATGAACATGCAGCTGAAAAAAGAAATTCATCTTTGTTGCTTTAAACCACTAAAGTTTGGAAAGACATGTTAGTGCAGTGTAACAGCGTCACTTCTGACTAATACTGATACAACCTGCAAGGCAAAATAAGTTTGAACTGTCACTCTGGATCCACTGGTAGGAGTTTTCTTGGCCCTGAATGGGAAACAACTCTGAGGTTCCAAATGGGCCCTGTAGGAAATTGGGCTGTAATGAATTGGTGTTGACCACCATGCCTGTAGGTGGGAGGTGGCAGCTCTGGTACCACATGCCTGTCTTCCTGCTTTCACTTTCATAGGAGGTTCTCAACTGGATCTTTTTCTAGTCTGTTCTGAGCATCTATCCTCACAAATGATTCTCATCAGCTGCACTGCTTTATGGGGTCTTCACTCATCTCTTTCTAGGGCAGATTCTTCTGCTTGGGTTTTAAGGGTCTCAAAATTCTGACCCTAACACACCCTTCCTCAGGGGACTTCTTGCTGGCCACTGAGCATGCAGTACCCCTCCCCTGCTCTAGGCCTTGATCACTGAATGCTATCCTCTCACCCCACCCCCTGCACACCTACCTGTCCTGTGGGTATCCTTTAAATCTGGCTCTCAGAGGACTTTCCTTTGCAGCCACAGTGACCCTGCTCTCCTGAACCCAGACCACACAGTGCCCACACTCAATTAATCTTTGACAATCTTGTTTTATCTTACACTTCATTGCTGCATGGTTATCTAACAATCCTCATGTTGAAGTCTCAACTCCCTAACTAGGTTATACACTCAAGGAATGGCCTGGGTTTTGCAATTACTCATCACAATGTCTTGGTGATAACAGGCACTTGAGAAATAAGTTTTTGAAGAGTTGATTGGATTGGCTGTGTGGGGCTAGAGAATAGAAGGGGAAAACTGACATGGAGTTGTCCAATGGTCATTGTCCAGATCATTCTTCCTGTCCTGTCTCCCAGGCCCGTCCTTCCTTCCATGGCTGGCACAGTCCCCATGTGATGTCCCCTTCCTGAAATGGTTAGACTTCTAATCAAAAGGTCTGGAGCAGCTCAGTACAAGCCATTGCAGTGGGAAACTCAGAAAAGGAACACACAGGGTATCTCGGCAGGATGAGACTAGGCAGCGATTCAACTTTAGGGGAAAGGGGAGGCTTCCCAGGGGAACGGATGTTTAGGCTCTTCCCAGAAGGAGGTGTGGGGATTAACCCAACAGAGGGGCCAGAGGAATGCTCTGTGGAGATCCCAACCTAGGCCTGGGCTGGAGAACTGGAGTTAGGGGCGAGCTGGAGCAACCTGTGACCAGTGACCAGGGATGGGGCTGGAAGAGTGATGTGGGACCTCCCTGCTTGCAGGAAGGAACTCGACCTTATCCTTAGCCCTGAGGGATGCCCCAGAGGGATTTTAAGGATGGAAGAGACTGATCTTGCTGTCTTCATGCCCTTATTTCATTTCATTTACTGCGTTTCCTCTCCTGACTCTGCTCTTATTTTTCTATTCTTGGACTAACATACTTTGTGTTTTTTTTGGTTATCTTATTTGAAAATCAATATAACCACATCTATAAAAACACTTTTAAAGAATGCCCAAACCCCAGAACCATCATCTCACCCAATTACAACTCTTGCCTTCGTGTCTGCTTGGCCTCCTGCCCCCTCTTCCTGCTGTGCGTGCATACATTTTATAGAGATGTGTCCTCAGTGGACATGGGATTTTTTTTTTCTCTTTTGCAGTTTTTTACACAAACGTTTTCATTTGTTGTTCCTGTTTTTCCTCCTTTCCCAGGAGGCTTTAGGTTCCCACTCTCCTCTCCCTGACTTTCTCACTGTCCCATCCACCGCTCCACCCCTCAGGCCTGCCTATGTGAAAGAGGGGTCTCTTTCTATGCAGAAAATCCACTTTAGCAAGATGTGGGTGCCCTTACACAGACCTCAGAAGAGGAAAATAGCACATCAGTGAACTTGGGGTCCCTGAGAGTCACAGTGATGTTCACCAGAACCAGACAATGGTAATGTACCTCCCCCATCAGGTTGCCAAAAATTAGAATAGGTTTTGTGTTTTTGTTGTTGTTGTTGTTTTGAGACGGAGTCTTGCTCTGTCACTAGGCTGGAGTGCAGTGGCATGATTTCTCGGCTCACTGAAACCTCCACCTCCTGGGTTCCAGCAATTCTCCTGCCTCAGCCTCCTAAGTAGCTGGGATTACAGTTGTACACCATCATGCCTAGCTAATTTTTGTATTTTTAGTAGAGACGGGGTTTCACCATGTTGGCCAGGATGGTCTCGATCTCCTGACCTCATGATTCGCCCATCTTGGCATCTCAAAGCGTTGGGATTACAGGAGTGAGCCACCGCGCCTAGCCGGTTTTGGGGTTTATTTTAAGAATGTGTCAGAGCCTGGCATATGCCTCCATTGCCAGTGGCAGCATAATTTGTTCTTTTGGAGTAACAATTTGTCAAGAGGCATCAAAGCCTTACTTTGACCTTCTAACCCTATTTGGGAAGTTTATTTAGAAGAGAGTGTCCAGAAAACGAGAAAGCTGTGTGCCAAAGGGGATTCTTGCAGCCTATTGCACTTAAGGGCAAAATTAGAAACAAAGCGGACTCCAGGGACACACGGTCCTTCTGTTTCACGGAATCTTTCCCAGACATCTGAAGGGTCCTGGTGGAGAAGAGGTAGCACCTTAAGGAGAGCAGTGACAACCTGTGATGTGATAATTACATAAGGCATTGCGTCCTTCCTGAGATTACGGAAAACCTGTCTAGGGAGAGGCTAGCTGTTCACTGGAAAAATGAAGGTTTTACCTGCTTGGAATAATAAGAGCATGACAGCTTCTTTTTTCTCTTCTTTCTTCTCATCTCTTCTCTTTTTCATAACTTGTCTTATTCAGTTAAACTCCAGTCATTTCCATAGAATAAAGTAAAAGGGAATATATATATTGAATGTGTAAGGCCCATATTCCCCCAGGAATGACATCACGGAAGGACAGCCTGACCCCCGCTGCTGTATCAGGCACGAGCACAGCGCAGACCACTGCACGCAGAGGTCAGGACAGGAGGTGCTCCTGGGTGTCATGATCTTGCTTTTTGTCCCTCATTGTCATGTTTCATTTCAACTGCACCATAATCACGCTGGGTGGGTAATGTAATAATCCCCATTTTATAGAGGAGAGAGCTGAGTCCTTAGGGCTCCTCACGGTTGCCATCCAGGAAGCCCCTGCTACGTTCCAAGCTCAGAAGCTCCCCACACTATCTCCTTGGATGCTCACATAATAGCTCTGCAGAGTCACTCCTCAAACCTGCTCTTCATGATGGGGAAACTGAGGCGCTGTGATTTGCCAAAGAGTCGTAGCCAGGAAGGATCAAGGCAGCATTCATACCTGGGTTCTCTGACTCTAAATTTGGCTGTGTTTTTTTCTTTTGAATTTTATTATAAATGCCTTCTTTGTTCATTGTCATTATCATCATCATGGATCTCTACCAGGCCCTTTACCCCCGGCCACTTGCCTCCTCTGTTACAAGAGGAAATGAGGAGACCAGTGTGGAATTTTTATTCCCATTCCCTTCCCTCCTCCATAGGCAGCCACTCCGGTGTGCTTGCTACAGGCCCTGCGTGAGGATCCTCCCTGTCTTGTTCTGATTGGGTATCTGTTTTTAATGTAGACAAATGGGATTCTGCTGTAGACCTCAATCTGGTTTTTTTGCTTACTCAACCCTCTTTTTCAGAGCCAGTCTTGGTGCTCTGTGTTCACCTGATTCATCTGAGGGACTGCATCTACCCTGCCCTTGCCATAGTTCCTGCCCTGTTTGCTTCTCCTGTTGCTGCTAGTGGACATTGCCTAGTTCTGTGATGAGCTCTTCACACCTGTGCCCATATGGACTGTGGGAGAGTTTGTCTGATATGGACCGTGATGCGGGTGAGTCATAGTGCACGCTCACACTTAATTTCGCAAGTACTGCCAGATTGTGTTCCAGAATGACTGTACTAATTTACACTTCCACAGGCAGTGCTCAGGGGTTTCTGTTTCCCTCTCTCCTCGCCAGCACCTGGTATTGGCAGATGCATCAAAAAGGACGCATTTGACAGCTCAACCGCATCGGCGCACTTGATTAGCATCCCTGTGATGGCCCTTTCTGCTGCAGACATCACTTTGTCATAACAGCATTTTGAGCAGGCAAAAGCATCAGGCAGGGAAAAAGGGGCCTTTTTACTGTGACTCCCTGTCTTCTATCAGGGAAGAAAATTTTCCCCAGAAATCCCCAGTAGACTTCCCCTATGTCTCACTGACCAAACTGGGCCAGGTAAGCTCCCAGACAGTCCCTGACAGAGATAACAAGATTGTCATGGCTGTTTCAAGCCAGGGCCAGTTCTTCCCCCTGCCATGGACTTCGTTTGAGCACATTGCCATCGGCCTTATCCCCAAACAGAACTGGGAATATTTTAACAAAGAAGAAGAGAGCAGTGGCCGATCAGTAGCTTGGCAGCCAACAGAGTCTTCTATATCAGAGTTCTACATTTGCCGATTTTTTGCATGCACGCTGCCTCTTCTATACCAGGGAACTTCCCCCACATCTGTTGGATTTGCAGAGAATTTCAGAAGCAGTGAGTCACTCATACATGTCCATTGCTTTGGGGATTCGATCCGGCCAGCTCGTTTTGGAAACGGCAATTCTTTTTGCCAGGCACACATGAGACCCATTTCCGCGCCAGCTGCTCCAGCTGAGGTTCCCATGCAGGTTCTGCGTGAGAGAAATCAATAGAAAGATTCAAAGGGCAGAGCACCGAAGTCCCTGCCCTGCACCATGATGTCAAAGCAGAATGCCTGCTGAGGACAGGTGGGGATGAAACCTGTCAGAGAGAACCACTTCTGCAAGCAGCAACTTCCCCTTCTTATCAGCCACGTGGATGCCATAGTAACCTTGTCTTTCTGGCTAGCTCAAGAAATTAATTTTTAGGATGGGTGCAACAGGTCATGCCTGTAATCCAGAAATTTTGGAGGCTGAAGCGGGAGGATCACTTGAGGCCAGAAGATTAATACCACCCTGGGCAACTAAGGCAACTCCCATCTCTATAAAAGTCAAAATAATAATAATAATTAAAAAAACAGGTTTGGTGGCACATGCCTGTGGTCCCAGCTAGTTAGGAGGCTGAGGTGGGAAGATCGCTTGAGCCCAGGAGGTCAAGGCTATAGTGAGCTATGATCATGCCATTGCTCTCCAGCCTGACAGACAGATTTGAGACTCTGTCTAATAAATAAATAAATAAATAAATAAAAACAAAAGAAATGGAAACCTTGTAGTTATAATTTGTTGAGCACTTATCTTTGCCAGGTGGCCTGGGAAGCGTTTTATTTCCACGATCTCATAGACATCTCTTGGCAGCCCTCTGAGAGCACTGATGTTGCTCCATCACAGGCTCCTATAGAATCCTGGTTCTGACGATTAGCAGCCATGTGGCCTTGGGACAGTCACTTGACTTTTTGTAGCTTGGCTTTCTCATTTCTACATGAAGAATGATAATAGTATATTGCACCTGCTCACATAGTTAATACACATAAAGTGCCTAGAATGGCACTTGATACTTATTAGCTATTATTGTTGCCATTTTTTAAAATGAAGAAACTGAGAGGTTCAGAGGGGTCCATTTACCAAAAGTTAGTTATAAGTAGCAGGGCCATGATTTGAATCCAAAAGTTTCTGGCTCCGAAGCTGGACTTTTTTATCCAAGGGAACATTACCGTTACTCCCCTCATCAGTAGAATCAATTTTCAGGTGAAGACTCAGTGACAAAGACCACAAAGACATAGTGTAATTCTTCTAACATGTGACTGGATCATTTCTGGAAGGTGGCTGGGGACATGGATACTGGGCCATAGAACAGGCGTGCATGGGATGGAAAACACAGCGCTCAATTCCTAATTTGGCCACTCAACCTTGCAGAGCCTCCACCTCCCTGTTTTTAAAATCAAGTTTTCATTATAGTTCCTCCCAGTAAGGATTTTAAAAGTGCCTTATAAGCTGAGCATCGCCAGGGCTCCTTATTCCAAAATTAGGATTTTATATGTCACTTTATATTTTGTGTCTCATTCTCAATTTCCACTTACACTGACAGAAAGTCTTAAGAGTCATTTCCCCCCAACTCCATTTTAGTCACCGCGAGGCTCAGGAAACTAGAATTTCAGAATCTTCTGGAAGAGATGTTTCCTTTCTTAACCAAGGGAAATGGGCTGGAGGCAGGCACCGCTGGGGTTTTTAGAAGGTTGGTTAACCACAGTGCCTAGCGGTTTGGGGAAAAATAAATCAGGTAGCTTTCTGTAGCATGAGACATTCCCTTACCACATTTGTCCACTTGAGCACTTTTATTTTATTTTTATTTTTATTATTTTTATTTTTTTGACAGACTCTCACTGTTGCCCAGGTTGGAGTACAGTGGTGCGATCTCGACTCACTGAAACCTCCACCTCCTGGGTTCCAGCAATTCTCCTGCCTCAGCCTCCTAAGTAGCTGGGATTACAGTTGTACACCATCATGCCTAGCTAATTTTTGTATTTTTAGTACAGACGGGGTTTCAGCATGTTGGCCAGGCTGGTCTCGAATTCCTGACCTCAAGTGATCCACCCACCTCGGCCTCCCAAAGTGCTGGATTACATGTGTGAACCACCGCACCCGGCCCACCTGAGCATTTTTAGATGTAGACTTGGTGATGAGTCTGAGGGGCCACATGGTCGGTCTGAATGGGGATCGCAAGCTCAATGATGTGGCTTTAAGCAAAAAGGGTAGCTTCAAGGTCTAGATTTCCTTGAGAGGACGTTTTAACCTAAACCCACATAACTAGTAACTCGGAGATCTTTTAATTTTGTTGTTTTTAAATTTAATTGACCCCATTCTCCCTCCTTTTCTCCCTCCATCCCTTCATTCCTCCCTCCCTTCCTTTGGACACAGGTCACCTGGTATAGAATCTCACACCTGGGAGATGGAGCCAGCCAGTGAGGCTCAAATTTGAACCACACACAAATCTCCAGGGGTACTTGTTAAATACAGATTTTTGACCAATTTTTCGGTGTGGGTCTACTCTAGTAATGAGCTCTCAGGCAGTACTGATGCCGCTGGTCCACGCATCAACCCATTTCAACTCGTGAGGAAGGGTCTAGTACCCTCCCTAGTCCTTCTCATGCACCAACCCATTTCAACTGGTGAGAAGGGTCTGGTCCCCTCCCTAGCCCTCCGCACACAGGCAGTTGCAGATACTGTCTAGAATACCAGATTGTTTGTGCACACATTTGACCTTCCTGACCATCCTGGGGGGTGTGAGAATACCAATTTTTTTTTCTTTTTCTTTTTCTTTTTAAGATGAGAAAACTGCTACTCAGAGATGCTGAACATAACGTGGCACAGCTGATAAGTAGCAAAGATGAAAGTCCAGGTGCAGAGAAGTTCCGAGAATGTGGCCCTCCTGGGATGGAAGGTGTCCTTGTGCTAGTCATGAGCGAGACAGAAAGCAAGTGCCATTTTCTCTTCTCTTCCCCTGTTTATCTCTGAGATCTTCACTTGGCTGCTTCTTTTCAGAAAACAGTGACGCACCGGACTCAGGTGATAGCCCCAGCAGTAACATTGATGCAGAGAAAATTGAATACTTTTCCAAGAGACCAGAAGACACATGAAGCTAGAAAAAGGAGCCCAGAAAACTGCCACATTGTACCCATATAGAAAAGCATATCCTGGCCGGGCGCAGTGGCTCACACCTGTAATCCCAGCACTTTGGGAGGCCAAAGTGGGCGGATCACAAGGTCAGGAATTCGAGACCAGCCTGGCCAATCTGGTGAAACCCCGTCTCTACTAAAAATAAAAAAATTTAAAAAAGAATTAGCTGGATGTGGTGGTGGCATGCCTGTAATCCCAGCTACTCGGGAGGCTGAGAGAGGAGAATTGCTTGAACCCGGAAGGCGGAGGTTGCAGCGAGCCGAGATCGTGCCACGGCACTCCAGCCTGGGTGATAGAGCGAGACTGTCTCCAAAAAAAAAAAAGCCTATCCCCCTCTTCCTTTCCTGCTCATTCCTCCCATAACACATAATGCTTTTTCTAGTGATTTGGTCACTGCTTAACTATCTTCACTTAATGTGGTTTTGACAGAATAGTTGGTTGGGAAATTTTATTTTCAATTAAAATAACTTGTTGAACTGCCTTGGTTTTGAAAGGATTGCATTAGGATGGCTAATTATATAGCAGTTGCTACATGGAGATATTTGCACTCAATTTCAGCTCTTAGGTAATTCAAATCAAATGCTTGAGATTTTCCTCGCTGGAGCTGTGTGCAACCATCTTCCTCTCACACTGCAGGCTTCCCATGAGTTATTTTTAGAAACCCAAATTTAAGCAGCAATTTTGGCAGAGCCATTTCTAGTCTAGTGGAGTAAACCATATGCACTGATAAATGCAGCCAAAGAGTCAGTTTCTTTAAAAAGCAACAAAACCATCTCTCTCCGTTCATGGGGGTTAAATGTTTACAAACTGCAAACTATCCGCTGTACTATTATATTCATTTGTGAACTCTAGCTGAAATGAGGGATCATGGATATTACTTTAAAATTACAAAAGATGTGTCCTTCTGCAAACTGTTGTCCTAATACTCATTTTTTTCCAAGATGGCAGGTCTTGGCAGAATTGACTGGGGACTCTGTTTTTGGCCTTTGAATTTCCTGTGAAACATGGAGATCCCTTTCTTTATTTTCCTACTCTGCTCTGACTTCTTCATTCACCAGAGCACTTGTAATACATCTCATCATGCTTATAAGCAGGAAACCTCCTCCTTCTATGTTAGAACATATTCTTGTGGGCAGGGGCTGGATTTTTTTTACCTTCTTTCATGCCTGGCACATAATAGATGCTCAAATAGTGAGGGAATAGATAGATGAATCATTAAAATTATATTTCTATTTTCTCCTTTTTTAAAACAAATTAAACTTTTATTACATAAATATTAAATGATTGCATTCATTTCATAAAAATTAAAAACTTTCCACGTAAGGCCAAAGTCCTTTTAGCTCACCTGTCCTCAATCCTTGTCTCCTCATTAGTTCTGTGTAGGTCACATTTCTTGTCTTTTATAGCACATTCTTGCAGACTAATTCATTTAAGTGTACACGCATGCACATATACACACTGAGTACTGTTGTGTACACCTCTAGTAGAGTATTTTGCAGTTTACCCCTTTTCACTCAGCAATATATGGAGGAGTGCTATCCATGGTAGCCACTCTGTTCTTTTTAACTGCTACATTGTTTTATTGCATCATGTGGATGTAACCACCTTTTATTTGGACCAAATACACAAATTATTTATCTGTTTTCCCATTCATTATACTTCCAGATCCCTTCTCACGTGTAAGTTGACAGACCCAGCCAGGTTCACTGGTATCTTTTCATAGCTACAACTCATTTTATCAAAATGAGCCACTTGCCTTAGAAATTATATCAAACTAGTAGACAGATTGTGTAAAATTCGAAGGGTTGCCAGAGGGACCAGAGCTTCCTTTGTCCTCACAGTCTAGAGAAGTGCCCTGTGCTCTGGGAACCCCACAGGGTTGGATGATGAGGGATGTTCACCACCGCTTACTCTGTGTTGTGACACAGTGATCTGGTGTCTGCTCTGCCCAAAGCCAGCTGGGTTTCCTTGAGCAGATCATTTCTTCTCCCAGGATGTTACTTCTCTTATCTGCACAATGGACTCAGTGCGCAGCCTGAAGCTCTTAGACTGAATAACTGGGTCTACACACTGCCACCAGGATTGACATAAAGAATGTCCTGTTAGCTCACCCTTCACTACATGTTGGGGTGGGGAAAGGTAATTCCTGATAAAGCTCCAAGCTCCAGCCCAGAGCTCTGAGCTGAGAATGTCTCAAAGAGTCCATTAGTGGCAAGGAATGTATTGTCTTTAGATTTTCCTCCTCTTTCCTACTATTTTGCCATCCAGTTAAAATGAATATATATATTTTTCTTTTGCTTAGGTGTGTCTCTGTTCTAAGCAAGGTGGTATGATGATGGGAAAAAAGGTTGTGGTTCCCTGAATTCTACTTCCAAACTTGTTTAATTCTACCTGTGTGTTCTTAGGCAAGTCACTTACCTTCTCTGGGCTTCCGTCTATTGACACCACAATTCCAAAGGAGCCAGGTATTCACTAAAATGACACTGAAAAGTTGAAAACCACACTCACTTATGAGTGTTTCATTTGGCATTTGTGAGCCTTGTCACCTGCAAATAGGCCATCTCATGAATTGATGAGGCATCCTCAGAGACCAACAGAGCCCATGAAATCTTGTTTCACAGGAGAATTTGCAGCTGTCCTGGCCCTTGGTGACACATGCTAAGCCCTTCAGGGGCTTCTGAGAGAGGCCCAGAGAAGGTGCTGAGCTACCATGATTCACAGGTGAAATTTTCTCACCTAGGCCCTGAGGCTTTGCGGTGGATCCACGGCAAAGGGTATTCCCCTGCTTTGAGGCTCAGGACCACAGAGGTCACAGGATCTGATTCAGATGCCAGCGGGTTTCCCTAGGGGGCCCAATCAGGCTTTCCATGTAGTGCAAGAGTTATGGTTCCCTGCTGGGTGTTTCACACGGGTCAGCCGACTCAATGCGGTTCTGAAGGTGAAAGGTCAGTGTAAGTGGGTGTGAAGCCACGTGGGAGGCATAGCCCAGCTAAGTGTCTGGGGTTTTGGTTCCCCTAGTCCCAGAACTTTGTTTTTTGCCCCTACTGTGAGTTTCTGTTCCTGAACACCCCTTTAGTTAAGTGTTCCCTGGTTGAGCAGGTTTCTACCAAAGGAGACCAAAGCCTGTGGTGCTTTTCTGCTGCTGAGCTTGCTGGGGTAGGTGACTAACCCTCTCCTAGCCTCTGCTTTCTAACCTGCTCGGGCTTCAGGGGGTGAAATGAGACTCTACAATAGGTGCTCAATCCACATTTCTTTTATTTCCCTTTTCCTGTTTCATATGGAAAAAATAACCCATAATTTTATAAGCACTGAATCTGTAACGGAGCTTCCAAAAACCCACGCTGGGCATTTTTTCACATTAACTAAGATAAACCAAAAAGGCAGTACCACAAATAGAGAAAATGTCATTAGGAAGGTGTACATGATACATGAGTTTTTTACATAAAAGGAATGGTGATCGTTTCCACGTATCAAACCTCTCTGACTGCAAAGTTTTCAGCAGCTGCCTTCCTCATTTTAATAAAATGCTGGTAGATCTGGTTTGCATTTTGGTAGATAAATGCAGAACAAGTCGCATTGACGTTCCCTGCGTTTATCATCCTCCCAGCCACCAATACCATTTTCATTCTCAAAGCCCGGAAACTTTAAGAAATGAATCAGCCTGGCCTATGATTCATAGATACTTGATCTGAAATGCTTGGTGGTGTGGGGTTGGTGGATGGGGTAGAGACAAAAATAAATTTCCTGACCCCAAAAGTCAGTTCAAGTGAACTAGAATGAGCAGAGAGGGGTCGTGGGGATGGTTCCCGCCCTCCAGGAGCTGCACTTCCAAGTCTGACTTAGGGTGATCACACGTCCAGGGTTGCTGGTGGAGCTTCAGTTTACGCCTGTGGTCCTAGTCTCTTAAACAGTTAGCGTGCCTGTCCACGATTAGGAATGTCCCAGGTTGGGAAGAGGTAGGATTCTGAGGAGAGTAGAGTGGTAGTTCTTAAAGGCCAGAGATAACATTTAATCATGTGTATCTTCAGTGCCTAGCCTCTTGTAAGGAATTAATAAATAAATGCTTGCTGAGTAGGCGAGTGAGTAAGTAGTTTCTTAACCTCCCATCCTTGTTCTCTAAATGTCTATTTCTCATTTTTCTTTGCATGTTTGAAGCACCTAGTGACTCTACTGGGTTCTCAATAAGTATATTTTGAATAAGCCAGTGGTTCAGAGGTCAGTTTCTTACTTGCTTGTAAGCAACCCCATGCTATCTAGCTCTGGGCTTTGAGTGGGTTAGCCCAGGTTAGTTAGAACTTAGTACTAAGAACAATGGCTTCCACGTAGTGAGTTCCTAAGAAATGGTCACGGAGGAGGTGGACGTGCTGCTATTGTTATTAGCCATCTGGCTTTACTACCAGTTTTTGTCTTTTTTCCCCTAACTGTAGGATTCGTAGACTATATATATATATTTGAGACCTCATATGTATTTTTAGAAGATAAATCAAACATATTATAAGAAATTGAAAAAATGAATAAAATAGTTATCCTAATTTCATGACCCTGGTAACATACTATCAATTGTCATTACCAATGTGCTATACCCCATTTGTGTCCATTTATACAAGTGTTGACAGGGTCTCACTTTGTTGCGTAGGCTGCAGTGCAGCGGCGCAAACATGGCTCACTGCAGCCTCGTCGACGTCCTGGGCTCAAGCAATTCTCCCACTTCAGCACCCCCCGAGTAGTTGGGACTAGAGGCACCGGTCACCAAGCTTGGCTAATTAGGGTTTTTTGTTTTGTTTTGTTTTTGGGATATTTTATTTTCTTTTTTTCTTTTTTTTTACATGTTATCTTAAGGTGATTTCCAATTTTTTTTTTCTATTTGCATTTTTCCACAAGCATTGTCCACGTTATTCCATAACCTTTTCAACTACCATTTTGAAATTTGCTTTTATCCATGTGGTTTTTTGTGATGAACTACAGGTTGCTGACTTTCTTCCCCTTCTGTAAATAAAGTTTTCCTCCTACTATGTCCTGTATTTCAAGAAGATCTCAGCAGTGGAATCATTCGATCAAAGGATATGACTGTTGCTCAGCTCTCTGTGTGCATGTAAATTAATAGGCTGTTTATTTGAGCAGTTGTAGGCTTACAAAAATATTGAGTCAAAAGTATAGAGTTCTCATATATTCTCCTCTTCTCCCTCCATATCCCCTATTGTTCGAATCTTGAATTAATATGGTACATTTGTTACAATTTATGAACCAATATTGATACACTAAGAGTTACTGGAGTCCATAGTTTACATTGGGCTTCACTCTTCATGTTGTATGGTTCTGTGGGTTTTGATAAATGCATAGTGTTATGTACCTACCACTATAATATCATACAAAGTAGTTTCACTGTCCTAAAATTCCCCTGTGCTTCCCCTATCTCTCCTCATTACTCTCTCTCTCCCCCTAACCCCTGTCAACCCACTAATCTCCACAGTTTTGTCTTTTTCAGAATCACACAGTTGGAATCACATAGGATGCAGCCTTTTCTTTTTCTTTTTCTTTTTTTTTTTTGTTGAGGCAGAGTCTCGCTCTGTCGCTCAGACTGGAGTGCAATGGTGTGATCTTGGCTCACTGCAAGCTCCGCCTCCTGGGTTCAAACAATTCTCCTGCCTCAGCCTCCAAGTAGCTGGGACTACAGGCGCCCGCCACCATGCCTGGCTAATTTTTTGTATTTTTAGTAGAGACAGGGTTTCACCATGGTAGCCAGGATGGTCTCGATCTCCTGACCTCACGATCCGCCCGCCTTGGCCTCCCAAGGACGTGGCCTTTTCAGACTGATTCTTTCAGTTAGTAATATGCATTTAAGGTCCCTCCATGTCTTTTCATAGCTTAACACCTAATTCTTTTTTAGTGCTGAATAATATTTCTTTGTCTGGATGTACCACAGTTTCTTTACCCTGTCACCTACTGAAAGGCCTCTTGGTTGCTCCCAGGTTTTTGGCAATTATGCATAAAGCTGCTATAAACATTTGTGTGTAGGTTTCTGTGTGGATGTAAGTGTTCAACTTATTTGGGTAAATATCAAGGCATTCTGTTGCTAGATCTTACGGTAAGAATATGTTTTGTTTTGTAGGAAACTGCCAAATTGTCTTCCAAAGTGGCTACATCATTTTGCAATCCCACCAACAATGAGAGTCCCTGTTGCTGCAAATCCTCCACCAGAATTTGGTATTCATGTTTTGGATTTCAGCATTCTAATAGGTGTGTAGCCATATCTAATTGTTGTTTCAATTTGCATTTCCCTGATGACATATGTTTATTTGCCATCTGTACGCCTTCTTTGATGAGATGCCTGCTCAGGTCTTTTGCTTATGTTTTAATTGAGTTGCTCATTTCCCTATTCTTGAGTTTTAAGAGTTCTTTGTACACTTCGTATAACATTCCTTTAAGTGACATGTCTTGTGCAAATATTTTCTCCCAGGCAATGGCTTGTCTTTTCATTCTCTTTATAGTGTCTTTGCATATCAGAAATTTTCAATTTTAATGGAGTCCAACTCATCAATTAGTTTTTTCATAGATTGTGCCTTTGGTGTTGTATCTAAAAAGTTATTGCCATACTCAAGGTTATCTAGGATGCTCTCCTTTGTTATCTTCTGAGAGTTTTATCATTTTTAATTTACTTTTAGTTCTATGATGCATGTTGAGGTAATTTTTGTGAAGGGTTTAAGATCTATGTTTAGATTCGTTTTTTGCAAATGAACGTCCATGTTTCAGCACCATTTGTTGAAAAAAAAATATCTTTCCTCCATTGTAGTCTCTTTGCTCCTTTGTCAAAGGTCAATTGACTATATGTATGTGGGTCTGTTTCCAGGTTCTACGTTCTGTTCCATTGATCTGCTTGTTTATTCTTTTGCCAATACCACGCCATCTTGATGACCGTAGCTTTATAGGAAGTACTGGAGTTGAGTAGTGTCAGTCCTCCAGCTTGTGTGTTCTTTTCCTGCAGTATTGTGTCAGCTATTCTGGGTCTTCTGCCTCGCTATAAAAGAATCAGCTTGTAGATATCTACAAAATAACTTGCTGGGATTTTGACATACCACAGATTGTTTATCTATTCACTTACTGAAGGACATCTTAGTTGCTTCCAATTTTTGTCAACTACAAATAAAGGTGCTGCAGACATTGGTACATAGGTTTTTGTGGGAACAGGAACCCTACTCATTTGGGTAGACACCAAAGAGCACAATTATTGGATCACACGGTAAGACTATGTTTAGCTCCTTAGGAAACTGCCATAGCTATGTTTTTTGTATTTATTCAGAGATTTTTTTGTTACAATGTCACTAACATGATTAACCCGCAGAATAGCAGAATAAATCTTTGGGTCGGGGGTTATTAGCCTTGCCTTCTGGCTAATGTTATTAAATGTTATTGCTGAAAGAAACACTGAAGGTTCCTAAGCCTCTAAACTTTCTGAGTGTGAGATCCACATCCCCTATCACTGCTCCTCTGTGGCTTCCATGGCACTGTGAGTATAATAGTTGCTCAATTAGTGTCCACTACACACTGAATACCAATAATGGAAAAACCACTTCACCATACAGATGAAAACACAAAGGTCGCAAAACGAAAAATGAGATACTTCTGACCAAACAGCATTTTACTAGTAACAGAACCAAGACTAAAACTAAACTATTGTGCCTTGTAGATCTGCAGACCTGTATTTTGAAGCATCAATCCTTGATTCATGACATTCAAGCAAGACAAGCTGGAGGATTCTTAAATCTGTAGTTAGTATTGTATGGAACACCTCCCCTCACTTTCAGGCCTACCCACTACTGACTGCCATTACCAGATTGCCCAAAGACGCCCAAAATGGTATTCTAATCTGAGTACAAGGCCACTGTAGCTACAAAGTCTAGTAGGGTAACGAGTAATAATAGCAGTGACAACAATAATAAAAATAGCCAAGAATTATTCATTGCTTAGTATTGTCAGGGTCTTTGCATATATTATTTCATTTTACATTCACAGCTGCCCCTTGGTTCACATCATTACTAGCCACAATTTAGAGATAAGTAGATTGAGCTTTAGGGAGGTTAAGTAACTTGTTCGGGGTGCTACAACTTTCACTTAAAGCCAAATGTGTGTCCATCCGTTCTCGACTCCACTTAGCAATGTACTACTTTACATTTAAAATAATGAGATTTAGAGCTAGATGGGCCTGCATTAGTATTCTGGAGCTGCCACATTGTAAGTCATGCGATCTTAACCTTGTGCCTTCTAGTTGCAATGTTCCCATCATGGGGTACTAACACCCATGGCAAATGCTGTCTCTTGTTACCTCAAAACCATTGCCTCCCACTGTACAGAACGTCAATATGTTCAAAGGGTTGGCAGGAGGCCTCAGGTCTCAGGGAAGTCAGACTCTTATCCCAACCTGGTGAGATGAATCATGACTGGTTTAAACTAGATATGGTAATGGCAGGCAAGTTACCCAGTCTTGTTAGGAACAGTATGCTGAGGAGGGAGTCTCTTTCTAAAGAAAAAGGCAAAGCCCATTGCAAAGGAAGCTTATTACTCTTTTCCTTTCTTCCTCCCTGGATCTTGTATGTGATACCTGGATGTGCAGCAGCCATCTTGTAATTATGAGGTGACAAGTCAATAGACTGAGATAATGGAGCAGCAAAGATAGAAAAGGTCTGGATTTTTTATAGCATTGTTGAACCGTTCCATCAGCTTAAGACAGATGGCTATCTTCAGACTTCTTGTTATGTACAACATGTCCTATTGTTTAAGTCACTCTAATTCGGATTGTCTCTTATTTACAGCTGAAATTATTTCTAATAGATAGATTTCCAACAAAGCACAGTGTAGAGCAGCTTAACATGTTACCTATGTGCCAAAGTTCCAGAGCAAGAATTCCTGGGTTCTAATCTTGACTCTGTGACGTGACTTTAGACAAGTCACTTAGCTTCTCTGTGACTCACTTTTCTCATGTATAAAATGCTCAGTAACTGTGTATTGACTGTTAAATAAAGGATAATAGTAATACTGAATTCATATGATTGTTAGGATCATTAAATGCCCAAACATTTTATAAAATGATTAGAACATTGCTTGACACATTGTAATTGGCTGCAGATGTGCTTGTCAAAGTAAAATTAAAAGAAAAGTAGTCACTATTATAAGGCTTGGGTTTGCATCTTGATCCCATCATTGGGCCACTTGTGGTATTTAAGCACCACCTTGACCCTTTTACTACTGAGGCTCATGGAGCATGAAACTCCCCCTAAAATCTGTCTCAAAGCAGACACAATGGTGGTTTCTTTTTGACAAAAAAAGGCTCCTTAGAGAACGCTGGCTTGCAAAGGAGGGGCTGTGACCACCAAGTCGTGTCAACAACTGAATGGCCGAAATACCCAAACTTGCCCATGCAAATGGGCTCGCGTGTCTCCTGGCAGCCCCCTTTGAAGGCTCTAGACTTATCTGTGAACTCCTTTTTTGAGAGGGTCTTTCCAACTAGTGGTTTGTTCTTTGACTCTGCTCATACCTTTCTTGCCAGAGAGTGAGAGTGAGAAGGAAGGGCTATGGCCTGAGCTTCTGCCCCTTCTGTGCAGTGAGGGTCAAGATCCTCAGCTAGTGTTTGAGGGGAACCGGTGTAGCCTGGGTCTCTCATTTTCTACCACCCAAGTTGCCACCTCTGTCGAGGTCCCACTCTAATTTGGGCAGCCACTAAGCAATATATTGAAATATACCTTGTTCATGGGTTTAAAGGATCAACTGGTAGGTGTGTCCATTAGCAAATCCCATGGAACCTTCCTTCAAAATATCTGCTCTTTTTACTCCCTACTTACCTTCACCACCAAGGACAGTTCAAACAAAGTTGTCACCACCTTTAGCCTGATTTACTGTAGGAGACTCCTAATCTATCTTCCTGTTTCTACTCTATCCTTCATCCCCCCATTGGCGGCCAGGGAATCCTTTAAAAATGTGAACCAAAGCATGGGACTAAACCACTCAAAATCTTCCCATGGCTCTCATCTCAGATTAAAATCCTAAGTGCCTTCTGTGTCCTCAGTGAACCCCAGGTGCACCCTTCCTCTGCCACTTTCCCCCCTTATTTATCCTACTTTCCACACTGTCCTCCTTGCTGTGGGCCAGACATATCTGAGACCAGTGTGGCTTCAGGGCTTTTGGACATACCATTTTCCTTTTCTGGAACACTCTCTCTTCCTTGCACATCTGCCTGGCTCTCTGCTTAGATGTCAACTCTCAGAGACCACTTTTCTGACCACTCCCTTTAAAAGAGTTTCCCCCGCCCCTCATTGCCTATCATTATCTGTAGTACTGATGACTTGTGGATGTTATTACAAATTTGGTTATTTTTTGCATCCTCCAGCAAAATGTAAGCCAAGTGAAGAATGAGGTATTGTTTTGTTCATCAAGGAATCCACAGAAACCAGAACATTCTGTAGCAGATGATCACTAAATATTTGCTACACTACAAAAAGCCATTTTAGGTTAGAAATAAGGTATAGCTGACACAATTCTAAGCCTGATGTTTCTTGTGAACCTGCTAAATTGGCCCTGAAATCACTTCCCAGAAAGCTCTAGATATGTTATGAACAATGGGAGCAATGCTGGACCAGTGTTTGAGGTTCCAAAGCGAATACATTGAAAATGAAGCTACATGTGACCTGATGAACCTTCTTGCATTTGTTTAAAAATCCTCTTCATCATAATTAGTTCACACTCTGTTTTTCTTGCTTTGTTCCTAGGCACCAGACAAGTCATTCCAAATATGGGGTCTTGGTACCAGTCAGAATGAGGTTCCCATCTGTTCCCATTTGTTTAAAAACAAAATGGTCTTGTTCCTTGATATTCTTTCCAATGAAAGATGGGATATATGACTTTTCCTTGAGTCTGTGCAGGCTTGTGACTGCTTTATGCAGCTCCTGCCTGGTTTTCTGAGCATACTTATTCCAAGGAAAGCACAGAGACTGTCAAGCCAAAGAAGTCCCTGGTGGATGCTCTTGTCTGTAGCCTCAGCTGAGCTCCCGGCATCAGCCAAAAACCCTGAGAGCCGCCATCTTGGATGCACATGTAGGCCCTGTGCACTTTCAAAAGTCCATGACCCAGCTGACATCTGACCACAAGGGCATGAGAAACTCCAAGTGAGAACCACCCAGCCAAGCCCATCCCAAATTCTTGACCAAAAAAAAATCATGCAACATAAAACAATTATTGTTTTACAACAC